TGTTCCATTAGCTTGAGAGCAACAACATCCTAATGTCACAGCAACACGGATTCCGCCGAAATCAATCCTGCACTACAAACTCGCTGCTAGCCCGAGCAAACTGGACAGTGTCAGCCCATGCCTGAGTGGGAGTCGACGTTGTCTACCTGGACTTCTCGAAAGCGTTCGATCGTTTGGACCACCGGATTCTCCTCCACAAGCTTCGAAAGTATGGAATCGGTGACCATATACTCGGATGGAACGTTAACTTTCTCGCTCAACGTCAGCTGAATGTGAGAGTCCGCAGCTCCATTTCCGATCCAATTGATGTCTAGTGTGGCGTGCCTCAAGGATGGGTACTGAGGCCACATTTATTCCTCACATTCATTAACGATCTTGTCAGTGTATTGCAGTCGAATTTCTTACTATTTGCAGATTATATCAAAATGGCATGATAACAGGACATCGGATGATCACATGACGTTGCAGAGCAATCTCGACAGGGCTTATGCGTGGTCATCCGACAACCGGCTCCAGTTCAAGGTGACCAAGTGAAAAGTCGTAAGCATAATACATCAGCTTACCTATGCATATCTACTTGGGGACCAGCAGTTACAACACGCTTCCCACGAAAAGGACATCGGGGTGATCGTGCATGACGAGTTTGGTTGCTCGAGACAGGCTGAAAAGGCATCAAAAAAGCCAGTCAACATCTTGGACTCTTACGGAGGGCTTTCGGCAATTTCGAACCATCAAACTTCCGCAAACGCTGAACACCCACGTGAGGCCTCACGTGGAATATGCGATCCAGGCCTGACGTCCATGGAGCGGTCGCGACGTCGATGCGTTTGAACCTCTGCAACGTAGAGCGACCAAACTCGTTAGAGGGTTATTTCACCACTTCCATCAACACAGACCGCAGTCCCTGAGTTTGAACAGTAGTGAATATCGACGTCAGCGAGGAGACCTAATCATGGTTTAATTAATATTGACGAACCCAACTCACCCATATCGCAATCTGTTGCAGCTGAGCCAAAATACCGACCTGAGAAGCCATTAGCTCAAACTGGCTCCGCAATACAGTCCACTTGATTGTCGCCGAAACGTTTTCTCCCTCCGTGTGTCACGTGCCTGGAAAGCCCTTCCAGCTCACGTTATCCTTGTCCCTACATTAACGCTTTTCAAAAAACTCATTGATGAAACGCTTTCCAACTTGCATTACTTGATATATACCCGTTCCACTTGGAGGACGAAATAACGCAAGCCTAACCATGTGCTTAACGGTCCTCGCCGCAACGTGTCGCTGAAACATGTAGTAGTGTCCATCTGATTAGCCTGGATGTAGCTAAACCGGATTAAGCTATCACATCTGTCAAATGAAGAAACAAACGAGTGAGCGTTGTCGTTTGCTTTTTTATTTCTCACGCACTTACTGAAATTTAACAGCTATCTATAATATTTTGCGTGTGCACATCCCATTCCCACTTAAAACTATCGTTATGCACTAGTGCATTTAACTCGGTGGACGCTTGAAAGAACCATTTACTTATTCGATGATCCATCAAATTTTAATTTTTACTCTATCTATCCTAAGGGACTTGTCAAACACATGCTATTTTCCCCTTGAAAAATCATTGTTCATCGTTCATCTTGTTAAAGTATCTTGACGACGTAATCTTTGGTGTACACAAGCACACCACAACTTGATCGGCCAAATTGCAATGCTGTTTGGAAAGCCACACAGCTTGGTTCAAATCTCAATGTCTTTCTCTGAACACATCCAAGTGTATGCCCGTTGCCCTCTGTCAAACGAAAATCCTCATTCACACTCCGGATCTTTCTCTTGATAGTGTCAGTCTGAACTGTACCTAAGTGAAATATCTAGGAACATTTACCAACCTCGTTCGTCACCCATCTGGACAAAACTAACTTGAGTGTCATAACTAACCATCTGATCTGCACCAGCCATCTGACTGGTAAGCGCAAGTCATTTGAGATCCAATATCGAGTGCCATCGCATTTACACTATCGGTCAGGGCATCGGCTACTTACTACCGCTGAAGTAGTATACATCAGGTTGACAAAACCAAATATCTAAGAGTTACACTGAGTCATCATGTCAGGTGGTCCACCAGGTGAATGGGACATTTACTAGAGTCAGGAGATTGTGGTTCTATGTCTCCCGACTAAGGTCTCCATCCGTGCCTCGTTACTTTATCTTACGGTTTATCACCGCTTGTCTATTACCGCACTGGGGTGTTGCTGACCTGTGATTTTTCCTGGGCTTTTAAGAGGGCATTTCAAACTGATCAATAGGTCACTGAAGCAACTTGCTCTAGGCAGCGAGATTGTAATGTTGCATTTTACTGAGGTCACTCTTGCGAAAAACCGGCGTCCAAAATGCTCATTGATGTCAGCCACCACCCAACAGTGTATTGCCGAATGCCTCACGATTAATGCTCGCACACGGGCTAACGGTACCTCACTTGTTTCATAGTTGTCATTGTTTGGGGATCAAAATTTAGTCAAACCAGATCTTCTTACCGAACTGAATAGCTGATATCATCTCTGTAAAGTTTCCGAATTGCTGACGCACCATGTCAGTTTGCCAGAATTTGGTCGACCGTTGTTTCCTACCTTGACTTCTTCCTCTTTGCGGAATGATTTCCACTTTTGCATGGCGTACCTGACATTATAGTTCCGCTTGTTTCGTAACTGTCGAGATTTCGTTTCTCTTCTGGCCGTTGTTTCCAATATCTCGTGAGACGCTGTTGAACGCTCCCACTCATGACCCCTCGCCTAGAGGTAACGAGCTTGTCTCGTACTCTTGCGGCACGGGTTCGAATCCGCGTGGCGGTGGGCGTCCCCGTGGTATACTCAGCTTGCGTGTGACTGTTGGTGGTTGCACGGTGGCGAAGCGCCGTTACGGCGTGCAGCTGACACAATACTCACGAGCTTTCATTAGGTAGGTGTCGACCGCAATTGTTGCTTCTCTACTGAACTGTAATTCGAATGAAGAAACCTTGGTGGTGGACTGCATACTGGTTTGATAAGGGAGTAGAACTCACGGCAACGCTTTCTACAAAGCCAGTTTGGTGCAGTTTATCCGTGCCTTCATGGTTCTATTAAATTGCTCTGTCATTCCGTTGGTTTGATGGTTGAGTTAACGGAACCCCATCGACCATACACGTAATGGATACCCCCTCCTCTGTGTCCATTATGACACGGACAGATACCCTTTGAATATTTATATCGAGGATCTGTACTCTCTACCTGCTCGGCATGGACGAGGAGAAACAAGGACAGACATTTCTGTACGTACAAAATCCGGAAAAATAATCTACATGGTTGCATCGAAAACAACCACGATCATCCCGGCGTTCATATTCGTTGCGTTTTGTAACCTCTTTCATTGTATCCTTCGAAGCCATCTTTGCCCCCATCTGTGTCAGCTCGTCCACATTTCGTTCCAGCTCCGAAGGTTGAATCCTCGGTATCGCCGCAGGCTCCGAGAAACCTTAGGCCACAATCACCAGCTCCTCCACCCAGTTGACTCAAACCATCGATGTCAATTGAACTTCATCCTGGAGCTCGCTGGGTACACTTCAAATGAACTGCCCTCTCAACAATCATTCTCTCACGGCGAAATCTAACTCAGAGAGCCCAATCGCCAGGCGCATGCTCAAGCTCGGGAAAATATCATCAGGTCTTCTTTCTCTTCCTATTTTGCCGAGTGAAACTGCTCCAACGCCCGCAGCCGAGCGATTTCCTTTCCGAATCATGCACACAGCGCTGCCTACATCTCACTGAACACGCATCCGGTTTTGACCTTTCGAGTCAGTAAGTACATCGTCTTCGCTCTCCCGGTTAACAACTTGCTAAAGGCTGTCACTAGGTTGGTATCGCCTTTTACTCCATTGCACGCTGCGATAGCTTCAGGTTCCGTGAGCCAAGCTTCCATATCTCCATCCGCAAACTAAGTTGGCCAGATCATCTTCATCCTGTATGGTCACGGCACCACTGTAGCAAGAACGAAACGGCAAGAAATCACAATATTTATTGTACGCGACCACAATTTGCCACGTCACGCGCACGCGTGCCTTTATCTAGCATGTTTCCGTCCCACAACACAATATACATGAGGAATGACAACATGTGACGTCCGTGCCTCGTGGGCCGGAATATTTCATGGTCCTGGCTGTCTGTCTGACCCCGTAGCTTCGCTTCCGTAGCTCGCATTCTGACCAGCCTGGAGTTGTCCTAAAGCTCTTGATTTGCTTGATCTCTCTTACGGTATTCGCCTAGGGGTTACTCCAGTGTGCACCCACGGGGAGGGCCGTGCACTGTGTGGGTCTAACTTACACACTCGTTTTATATTACCTAATAGCTGAAAGGGACTATACACTTAGGGTTTAACCTGACTATCGAACCACAGGTCGGCAGCCCCTTTTCACTAATAGGTATACCCTTATGCATTTTAGTGGAGGACATCCCATTCTCTGACACTTTACATAAATGTAATCACTTTGTCAGACTAATCTATTTTCACACTTCATTACGTGGTGTACGCTGGCTATATCGACGATTTTTCCCTCATGTCAAAACTGAAATGTTAGCCCCTTTGACAGTTTGCGGAATTCCACACTATATTTAACTGCCTGCAACCGTCCTGTGTATGTGATCACTGAAAGTTGTTCGGTATTTGACAAATATCGAATGCTGAACGTAAACACTACGAAGTCCCAAAACTGACCCAGAGGAACAGAATGATGCGGAAACTTTGAATATCCCTAAAGAACGTAAGTGAGAGACATTTCGTATCACGGCTCTGCACAGTTGAATCTATTGATAAAAGTATTTGTCTATTTCTCTACCGACTACTATGTAATCAGCGCCAGCGAATGCAGGCATAATAGTGAAATTAGTATAAAATGAACCTCTCGGGTATGTTTGAAAGTGAGGTCAGTAGACTTGAAAAAACTTTATTGCCGGCAAAATGACGAAACCTGCAGATAAATCCAGGACTTTTTAAGTGACGATTAGGTGACAGGTTCATCGTTACATCTTTGATTACACGCAGTGTGTTTGGACCGCACCATACAATCACAGCTTTGGTGATACGTTGCCTTGAAAGTGGACCCTCTGATTCCAACGGCTGAGGCCACATCAGACGTGGGAACATTTTCGAGAGTATTTGCTTACTACACACCCGTATTGAGATCGAGTAGCACAGAAAACACTTCCAACACCATTCGCTTTACTCAAATGGCTGACCGACAGGGAGTAATGCAGAATGCTTGGATAAACTGGATAAAAACACAGAATCAGGGGTTATATTTCAACGGGTACAAGTGTGGCTGGTTTCCGATTTCCGGTTAAGCAGACCGAATCTAATGTTCTTTTGCCGATTACACATCAAAACGGTTTGTCGTTGGATGGATGAGCAAGTGACAGCCTTGTTCATATGAAGACATGAGTCGGAGGATCGTATGAACCGGGGCCAGGTACGACCTAAAAACGAAGTTGAAAATAATTACATTAAATTTACCTGTACATATTCATAAACCACTAGTTAACCAGTTTAGAACTGTATGCTTGATTTGAGAAGGCATACGTTCCGATTGATGAGCAAGAGTAAGCCACTGCAATGCGGTTCACAAATTCGGAGTCACCCACTACGTTTCAAATTTACACTACTGCTTCTAATAAAGTAGTACACTCATTAACATAATTTACTACACGTGCGCTGTAATAAATTTCTGACTTCTAATTCCCATGTAATTTATTGTTAGGTAGCCGCTCTAAAATCTCGCTCAACCCATATGCTTGACATGGATTTTCTCTGGACAGCCATTCGCACCACCACCTGGCAGGCACAAGCTGGAATTTGCACGAGAATGCAGATCGATACCACAACTGCGCGCCACAGCAGACGGGAAAGCATACGAAGAAAACAAGAATACACGAATCTACACCTGTGATCCACGAGGAATAGGAACGAAAATCTGGCTACACGGCCGTAGTCTGACTGCAATTGGTTGCGTCTCCAGAGTAATAGGCGACGTCATGATTTCTTACCCACCTTGGCTGGCAAGCATTGCACGTTCTCACGGTCAACGCGAGAGGCCAGCGTATGGAAGAGCCACTCGAAGGTAAGCGATTTGAGTTTTCTGTCTGTATACCTAAATGTGAAATCCAGACTTGGTTGGCATAACCATCTGACTCTCGTGAACCAGACTCACATTGTAAACATAAAGAGAAATTCTCACGGACAGAGAAACTTTTGTATACAGGAGTACAAAAAGCGCACTGGACCGTGACTGAGTCCATGAGGAAACACAACGCACAACGCGATGTTGCCTGTCTTTTAGCTACTATAACGCCATAGTGACACCGTGTTACTTAAAATAAATTGAAATATTATATACCCTGTTAGTGTGAGTTAACGGACTGGAACCACCGTCTGGACAGTATTCTGTGAATGACATGCATTTCAGCCTAACGCTCTGAGTCCATTAACGTTTAGCAGCCTCTGCACTAGAAACTAACTTATAAATCGCCCTAAATTTAACAAAGGTATGATTCATAGCTATCCAATAAAGATTAAGGATAAATTTATAGGGTTAATAAACGTGGCTTTACAACTCCTGTTGGATAGTTGGTAGGCATGTTGAAATAATAATAATAATAATAATAATAATAATAATAATAATAATAGTAAAACTGTTACTACTTTAAATAGGAAAATAAGGACTTTGGTTTGCTCCGCTGTAACCCTGCAATTCGCTTAGATTCACAGCACCCACAATTAACATCAATTAAACTCCAGGTGTAAAATGGAGACGTAGCACTAACTGACAAAGTGTATGTGGATTAGTGTGTCATCCAACCGCCTCTTAAATATTGTTGCCGTCGATGCAGAGACAGCCGATTCTGGGAGAGCACTCCACGGGTGACAGACAGGAATGGGAAAAAATTTCTGCGGCACTCCAGACAGCTATACCTTACAGCGAGTTTCAGTGAGTGGCTCCTCAGGGCTTTATTGGTGCTGAGTTGGAGTTAGGAGCTCACACATGATGTGGGTCTCGTAGAATCAAGTGGGGCATAATCAGATCGCCTCGTAGTCTGTGATAGCTTCCGCTGAATATCCCCAATCTTGCCAGCCTCTCCTAATATGAAAGATTACGCATTCCTATTACTTTCATACATGCCCGACGTTGTTGCTGCTCCAGTGCATTAAGGTCGTGTTTCAGCCATAGATGCCCGGCTTGAATTGCGTATTCAACGTGGGGGCGAACATACGCACTGAGTATTTGTTGAAATATGGAGCTGTTTATTTGTCCAAACACCCGTCGCAGCAGCCCGACGTGCTGGTTTCCAGTATTCGAAGACTTTTTGGATTGCCTGGAGTCACCCAAATCATCTTCAACCAGGACATTCAATACATGTTCGACTGTTGATTGTAGCAGTACATTCGTTCCGAGTCGGTATGAGTAGCTTTTCTGATGTCGGATGGAACCTACCTTCCATTTAGTCATGTTGAAATGCAGTCAGTTTTAGTTGGACCATTGATATACCGTATGCACGTCACTCTGAAGCAGATGCTGGTCAGCGTTCAACTGGATCCTGCGCCAAATCTTGATAGCGTCGGCAAACATTAGCAAGTTTGAAGCGATTCCTTGTGCAAGATCAATATTAAACACCAAAAGCAAACATGGACCTAGAATTGAGTCTTTCATTACACTACACTCGACTTGTATGGGGGCCGATAAAGAGATCCGAACTCTGATCACTAATTGCTGTTGAGGTAGAAAGTTGGCAATCCAGCTTAAAAGTGTGTCGCCCATCCCATAATACTGCAGCTGGATAGTAGTATCCGATGATCTAGAGGATCGAAAGCCTTGCAAAAATCCAGGTAGATCGCAGCAACACCTTCTTCAGCGTCAGCTGCCTTGGTCCAACTACTACTTGCAATTAGTAACTTCGTTGCACATGACCGCTGTCGACGGAAACCGTGCTGCTCAAGAGTGCTGATGTTTCAGTTTTTCAAATAGTACACTAGTGCATCGGCAACTATGGATTCCATGACTTTGGAGAGTATAGGAAAAACGGATAATGGGAGGTAGTTGGATGCATCAGTTCTGCTTCCATCTTTGAGAATCGGGGTTATTATTCTAAGCTGCCACGTAGCAGAAACTTGGTTCTGGTCTAAGTAGAGCTAGAAAGACTGAACTAAAGTTCCTGCCAGTTGGCTTGCTGCTGCTTCCAGTGCCTCTGGACGAATGGTGTCGATTCCCGACGAACCGAGTTTTGTGTAGAGACGTCAGATTTTGCAATACAGCCTAAGCGGTAAAAGTGATGTGGATTAGTCCTGGCGGAGAGAGATCAAAGGTTGAAAGATTGCTTAGTGGCAAGACCCTCTGAAACGCGGGGCATATTGCATCCGTAGCACTTCCTTGTTTCCACAGCCGTTCCTGTTGGACCATCAGCCGTCCTAAGTGGCGGAAATCCTTGCCTTAAGCTCCGTAGACTATTGACGTGCTTTTACAGCAGTTTGTAGTTAGCACTGAAGGTTATTACGATGTGTTGCTAATAGCCGGCTTTGTCTTCTCTGAACAGTTGAGTGCAGCGGTTACGTTGAACCATGTAATTGTCCCAAGTTTCTGGTGCTGGAGCTTTTCTGTACACTCACCAAGCTGCGTTGCGTACTGTCATCCATTTTCGAGTTCTGCTCCTAACGAAAGAAACTGATTTACATATATTGCAGACTCTTCTCACTAAAGCCTTTGCAATCAGCTGACTGAATTTGTTGACGAACGCGGGCCAGGCTTCTTGAGAGTGTTCTTCTGCAAGAAACGACCAAGTTGTATCGCTGACGAGGGGGGCTAATCGATTCAAGTTTGTGATGGTTCGCACAAACTTATCGTTCTCATTCCGATGTTCCGCACATCAGACGAAGTTGGGACTGATCACTGCGTGATCACTGCGACCCAACGGGCAGTCCAAAACCAACAAATCAATCCTCGTTGGTAAGCACAGTATCCAACCCAGATTGCCTGGTTTGCTGTTCTGAACGAGTAGGGAAAGTCATGTGATTGTAAAAAGGAACAGTAATTAGGAGATCGTGTAGATCGGCTTTGCATTGTTCTCCGATCGTGGCAGGAGTTTCTAAACCATGTACGTTGGACTCACCCACGATGTATGTGAGTGTGCTTTCGTTGTAAACTGCATCTTAAAGCAAGCGCTAGGTGGCAGTCGGTTTCGGGTGTAGAGTTAGGGGGCAGTACACCATGAAAAGAAGGCAAGCGTTTCTGCCTTTTAACTGCAAGCGACACGAAAGTGAGTCGGGGCACTGCGAGTCTGAATCCTCCACGGCTTCGTACTGTAAGTCCCTTCGGTAGTACAGGATTACCCATCCTTCTTACGCGAGTCTATAATTCCGGATCAGCGACATTCCCGGTAGCGACACTTCAGCGTCCGTCATGCCGTGTGCAACGACGTCTCGGGATACCATCACATGACCTGGAAGCTTGGCGATCTTTCAGTTCAGCCGGTTTCTTAATAAAAGAACTCTGAGCATCCGTATACAAACAGGCCAGTTTATCTGTCTCCAGAAGCCCACAGAGGGCCAAAGGAGCCAAGTGCAGGAGAATTCTGACCGATGGGAAGTCGGCAGGTACTCATTTGTTTGATGAAATAAGGATATCTCGTCCGAAACTTGATTCGGCCTAGATGCGTCCAAATCTTCGTTTAGACCTAGGTCAGATTCAAATAAAGCAGCAGTCAAGTTAAGCTTATGCATCATCGTCTGCACGTTTGCTGTCTCAAGTGCTTTGATATTTGAACCTTGCAAAGCTGTTGTGACCTTCGACCGAAGTTCGGAAGAAAGAATTTTCAGCTTTTTCCGCCATCGATCCAAAACATTCGTTGCTTGTTGCTCTGACTGAACCACACGTTTTAGGATTCTCGTGCCGCATGCTGTACACTTTGGTGAGAGAATTATCCTGGTGAGCGATAGCGCTACAATGTTATCCAAAGAAAGTGTTTCACGAAGGAACCGCCGCTGTTTTTAATCGTGTTTTCAGGTCTCTTGAACATCGTTAGAAGGATGTCCTGGAACGCGATGTATGAAGATTATATTTAGGCGGTCTTGCTGTCTGTGTCCCTATTCGGTGTATCCATTTGATTGTCGGAAACTTTAAGGGACATCAGGATAGATGCGTATCCCACAGGATCCGTGCTTTAGCGCGCTTGCGGAGAGCCAAAAGTTTTCTACCTAAGTGAAGGATTCTTGTGTGACTCGGATAAGTCTGGGTTCTCCATAGTGTGGCGAGTTCGGATGACGAGTAATTTTTAATAGGTCTATGGGTTTGGCTTAGACACTCATCAGCATGCGTAATGAGTTCCATTGGTCTTGGTCATCCGATAACTTATCCCGCAACTTGATGGCGGTAGAATCGAGGACATTTGAGCATACAACAGTCCTGGTACTATTGTTGGATCCATTTTTCGTTGATCTATAAGGTAGGATAATCGTTTGTCCTAACCTGCTGACAAGTGTTGATTGTTTGCTGTTTGTCCCTCTATTCGTCTTAACTGTGTCTACAACAGAAGAGGCCGCAACAGCGCTTTTCCGGCGTACCATTGCAGCAATCTCTGGATATGTAATTGCTGTTTCGGGGGCCTTTTCTCCAAAAGAGACATTTGAGCTGCAGGTACCAAGGGTTGATATTTGGCTGCTTCATCCTTGTTAAGTCTAGATGTCATGTCTAGTGGCATTTGTTTAACCAGACGTTTTGACTGGTGCCTGATTTTCATTGCCCTGGTTACCATTTGACTCTTGTAGGTACGGTTAGTTTCCGCTCGGCGTTCTGCCAAGGTTAAAGAAGACAAGAGAGATGGAGAGGTGGTTGATTACGGTTCAGGGAAAGCAGTTTGTGCAGTATTCCGTTTCTTAGAGGCCGCCACGCTTCCCTGGTGCATACTCACATCCATTGAAGTAATCTTATCGTCTATCCTCCGCAGGGCTTCTGCGGTTAACCGGTCACAATTCTAAACTGTGAAAACAAGCACTTAACAAGTGGGAGGGTGGAGCACGCAGTACAGAACCAAAGCGCATCTTGTGAGCTATTTCGCTCCCGTACCTGTTGTTTGAATGTGTTTGCACATTTCGGATGATGCCATTCCAAACGGTGCGAGCAAATCAAACCTATTTAAACTAATTCATGACATTTTCTTAACCAGCAAATGCCTTTTGCTTGGAGCTTTTTCGGATTCGCATTTTTGCCATTCAAAGTGGTGTCATTATCTGACGCAGTGTGTTGGTTGGTGTTCTGTACTTTTACAGGTTTGAGAGCGGCGCAAATGGCTCAGGCGCGCGTCGTAGTTGCAAGGTCAAATGAGAGGTCAGGATGGCTGCACGACCCGTATGATGGGGTATGCAGGCGCAGTGGCTGACAAGGTCACAAGGAATGGCGGGTGACTGGAACTTGCTAACTGAATCGGAACAAAGCGCTGAACATAGCTTGAGAGCTCACAAATTCTTTCGCGGCTGCGCTGAGAAACGCCGGATCGGAATAAGCTAAGTCTTTTCGGACTGCCTCGATAATTCTGTATCGAATGGTGTCACATAGAAAGGTAATCGGCTAATTGTGATTGAGTTAGCCGCTTGCATTTAATCACGGATGACAGTGAAAGTGGTTAGTGACGGCACGGACTTGAATCGCAGAAGATAATTACACGTAGGATGTCTCACTGTGTAGGGCTGGTAAATCCGGTGCGAATGATCGTACCGTGACAACGCTGTGAGATGATGGAGCAAACACGTCACGCGTGTGTGTGGTGTCCCTAACGATTTCATTAAGAACTACCACCTGGACTACCTGGACTGTATTCCCACTCGATAAGAGCAAGTCATAAAAGCAAATATCTTCTGTAGACGAATTAGCTTAATCTTATAAACCACGTTTGAGATAAGAGAGTTGACTCACCGATTTCGAACGGGGGAACCTGGGTACGGTAGAGCAGAAGGGTGAGGATATTTTCCGGATAGACATAGTGCTCATAGGTCTGTATGTATTTGGGGCAGGACTTTTGGTCTACTAAAGAGAAAGTTCATAGTAAATTTAAGGATAAAAGTGCTTAACTACTGAGGACGGTGAACAGTAATATAAGAGGAGGATGAAGGTTTAAATATTGCTAAATTTTAAATATCACCGAATCCATAATAATTCATGGAAACACCAATATTTTCCCCGGGGTGTTGCTGAAGGTCAATTCTGGCTCATTACTTTTGCAAGTATATCATTACACAAAGTCTCCTGACAAGCGTGTAGTGTCGAGCTTACCTAGGTTTCTGAGGTCAGGTCAATTCATTCTCCATTCGAAAATAGAAAATCTAATATACAACGCTACTATTGTATCTACAAGAATAAAGCGGAGAAACAGTAAAAAATACTCAATTATAACATCGGAAATGCCATTTAGGCTGTAGTCTGCAGGCCAGTACGGATGACGTGGAGCCAGCAAAATGCAACATATGACACAAAGCACGCCATCGCCTCTGGAATATCACTGCGTCTTGTTAACCTATCCACTACACAGAGGGGTGCTCAGTGAAACAGAAGACACTGGTGAATGCGAACATGAACTATAAACACTTTGTTTATGAATAAGAAGCAAAACTCAATTGCTCACACAATGCACTGGAACAAGTACAGGGAGCATTCACAAAAGACCTGTTAGGTGCTTCATTTAAACTGGAATATTATCAACGATGTGCTAATTTGAAGTCTGACCCGCTCTGGCTATGCCGCACGAAACACAACCACCTCATATTTTTTGCAATCTTGCACAAAATCGTGCACGTTTCCAACTTCGGTATAACACTGATGCAACAACAAAAGCGGTGGGTAGTCCACTTGGCCCCATTTTATAAGACATCTTTGGAGCCCATCTAGATAGATAACACCAAATGGTGTCAGCCCACACGAGAAACAGACTTTAACGCCAGGTATATTGATGACACCATTGTGGTGGTGGACAATGCGCAACAGGCGGAACGCATACGCGAAAGCTTTAACAGATGTCATCCTAGGATCGAGTCCACCATGGAAAATAAAACAGCAGGAAACTTTCACTTCATGGATGTTGCTCGAGAAAGAGGATCCGATGGCTGGTAAAATCAGTTTGCCACAAACTAGTTGGAAGGAGCAATACCTAAACTTAAACAGCTACTGTTCTTTGAACTAGAAGCGCTCCCCGGTTCGTGATTCTTTCGTGAAATCCCACCGTTTCTGTTCACAAGAGACGATTAAGAAAAAGCTACAGTGTGTGGCGTCTGGCCTACGTGAAAATGGTTACACTAACAAGTTCATCGTCAGGTATGGAGAGAAATTTGTACTGTAAGAAACGTCTCGAAGAAGAACGTATTCAGCACACTGCGTTTTAAGGGGTACTAAAATGATAGCCGTCTCTGCCGTCGCTTACACCAGGTCATAAAGTGGTGCTATTATGCAGCTGAGCTTGTGTTGCTCCAGCGAACGAAAAGATGCTACACGAATGCAAATTGGACAGGCCCCACTCTTATGTCACTATCAATGTAACTGCACTTATCCAAGCATGTACATAGGTCTGATAGAGAGCAAATTGTCTATCCTGCTTTCGGAAAGCATTCTGCGGAAGCTATCTCTTAGTCATGCGACATTGCACGCTAGCCCGATTAGCCGACGCTTACTCGACTACTCGATGTTCCAAAGTACCCCGCGGTGCATTCAAGGTCCCCAACAAACGGAACAGTTCAAGTTATTGCGTTTTGCTTACGATTCTGCCACCCGGAGTTCGAAGCCTAACGTCAGCAAACAAATTGAGTTTGTGGCAAATCTTGGTGGGGCGCGACGGCTAACTGGGTAGCTTGTTACCATCAATGGTTTGTATTGATCTCTCATTCCCAACCGTTTGAAGTTCGACCCATCGTGTGTAAGCGGCTGAAGAGAATACACGAAATACACTGAATTTAGATTAGGTCACAGAAAGGTTGGTTGCTCTTTCCCTTTGGAACTTCGTGAAGGGAAATGGTTGTATGACATCCACGCAATCAATCCTCTACAACATACTAGATAACTAGAACTCAGTGACAGAATGCGTTTAGGACCCGCATGCCAGCGCACTTCTTTAACGAATTTGCCATTGGCTGGAACAGGTTACCAGCAGGAATACGTACCTGCACTCTTGATCAAAAGCATTAGCAAATCCTCAGCTGTACAACACATGAGTACGCTGTTACGTTGTTCTATGACAAAAAGTGAGAAGTACCAGTCGTGTTCCGTTTAAATTGACTCAGTACTTGGTTCGCTACCACAATCTATTATGTAGATTAGCTGTTTTAGAATAAATGTTTTGTATGGTTAAAGTCCAACCAGCATAAACACCTTTCAGTTTACCATTTCATGCGACACTGCTGTCCTTCTAAACATCATCATGTGATCTGATTAATAATCTTCCTGATCGATCTGGGTTCAACGCTTCCGACCAGGATGCGATCACTGGGGCACTCTGACACAGACGTGTCTCGCATCGTGGAAAATAAAAGTTTATTTATTTGGTTGTTGACATCATGGTCCAAAGTGCGTAGTAACATTGTTTGTGAAAGCATGTGCTAAACAAATATTGGCTTACCTAGTACTCTTCGTACTCTCCCCGCAATTTGAAGCCGATCATGTCAATACTGATCACTAGGGGCGTGTCGGAATTGGGTAGTTTCTGTGCTGCTTGTCTCCTTCACTGCACTACACGACTAACCGGATTTTCTCCGATAGACATTGGGTGTTGCAGTCATAACACAAGAAGATGCTGATAGACCAAACACTGGACTTCTCTAACCACATTGCGTGCTCCCTAAATTTAGCTTTGAATTACTTTCCGCTGTACCAAGTGTTGCTCGCGGATCTCAATAGCATAGTGTTCAGGGCGTTAGTTATGAACTACTTAGCTCTGAGCTCCACCCCAGCTCAGACTATCTCCACCTGACGAGTCTAAACGAAGACGAAACCGCGGTCCTGGTGTGCCAGTGTTGGGAAGAGCAACACCCAAAAATATTCATTCTAACCCAAATGTTAGGCGCCGTTGGTAGATTGCAGGCGATAGTTATCAGAGCAATAGGAATCAAAACCTACCCCCTCCCAAATTCCCAACACAACTTCGGGCGTCTGCATCTAATGGGTCCAAATGCAAATGAAACTAGCAGTGGAATAAAGTGCTTGAAACTAACAACAACGAGAACTAGCTATTTGCTCAGCTGGTACACAGGAAGCATGGAACGGTGTTATTGCATCAGCAAGACCAGTGCAAATGTTCATGGTAGTAAGCAAACACGCACATCCGTACCTGCAAATAAACTAGCCAGGTCTATCAAAGCCACAGACACGGGTGGAATGCGGTATCAGCTTGTTTCCTTGCCACACCACTTCTAACTGCACCCGCACATTTTGCGATTGTTTTGGAGACAACACGAATCCCGTGGGGTGACAACTCAGCCTGTGCCGTGTGGCTCGTCAATGCCCCCTACTTCGCTCTTCTGGATGCTTTGAGCAAATGCGCATTTACCTTATTATTCGCCTATACCACACTTTGCCCTCTTATCACCCAGCTACTTTCCAGAGATGCTTCACGCAATACAATACAAGTTAGCCAGGCTTTCTAAAGCGTAAACCATCTTCTGACCACCTTCTTTCAGAAGTTTCGCCAGAAATGATCTATAACAGTGCTATTCTTTGAGTTTCTACACAATTCATTCTGTGGTGGAAGGATATATCCAAGGAACTGTTTGCAATTAAGAGAAAGGGAAACTTACCGCGGTCATCCGGGTAAATAAACGTAGAGATTTCGATTTGAACACAGCGTGATGAACTCCACTTCGATCGTCTGAACCAAGCGAATGTGGGTTGTACAAACCAGGAGCGGTTTTCAGAGTCTACACGAGGTAAGTGAAAACACCACTTAAATAAATACGCGGGTTTCGTAAAGTAGCTTAGCGACTTGTTTCCTAGGGTCACTTCATCGATGAAACGAGGGCAATTACCATACTAAAGGATAGTCAGAGCCAATCGACTCATATCGTAGCTACTTAACTTGTGAACTCAAACGCAAGCAGTACGCTAAAAGTAAACGTTTTACTTTATTCATCATCAGGATTGTTATAAAAATACACATTGAGAGGAATAGTACATTCGGGATACAGCGAGAATAACTATTGAAGGAACAAAAATTTAAGTGGTTAACATGTGTCAGCTGATCAAGTGACTGAAGGCACTGCACCCCAATGATTGAAGTCCAGAGCATCCCTGTTAGTGGCTGGCCGGGTTGGTTGCAATACTTGGACATGCTTTCTGTGAATGCATAGATTAGGTTTTGTCAATCTGATGCATACCGTTTCAGCGGTAGTAGGTTGCCGGGCTGGTGACTGATGGTGCAGTTGCGATGGCACTCGATACAGGATCTCAAATGACTTACGCTTATCAATCAGATGACCGGTGCGGATCAGATGGTTAGTTATTGTACTCAACTTGGTTTTGCTCTGCTAGGTGGCGAGTGACTTCAGAACACGTTCCTTGATTCGCTTTTCCAAGTGCTTGGTCGTGTGCCCGATGTACGTAGTCCCACAAGAGCAGGTGAACCGGTAGATTACCACTGATTGGCGTTGATCAACCAACCATCTTGTCATGGAATCTTGGAAAAATGAGTGAATTGTTGTAAAAACAACAATAAGTTGCGCTGCATTAAAGGTCGTTCGGCAAGTCTGTATCAGTCATCGTGTGCTTATCTCAGCCTGCATATCACCCTTAAAGGGAAGCTCTACCGTTTGTACTGCTGATACTGGGCTTTTAGGCTTCATATGTACATCAATGCATCGGTCTGGATAACCGTTTTCGAGAAGCTTTTGTCTGGTTCGCTTCATTTCCTCCTCAATTGTGTCCTCACTGCAGATCTTCCGTGCATGATTTGCCAGATTATGTACTAGTGTTCTTTTACGGCTACTTGGCACGAAACTCCGGAAGTGTGTGCATTGGCCTTTCCAGTACGGTTTTCTATAGAATCTTATCTGAATTGATCCGTATCTCGTCGCTTCATGTTTGCATCCACGAAGTGTATTTGGTTGTCACTTTCTTCTGCAGCTGTGAAAGAGGCGTTAGGATTTGTCTTGGTAAAACACTCGACGAAATTCGCAAGTTGTTCGTCTGCCCAGTTGTACAGAATATGTCGGCAACATAACGTCAGTAGAAACAGGCTCAAAATGACCGAATTAAATGAACCAGCCTCAAAACTTTCCATACATAAACATATATATAAATCATATATATATATATATATATATATATATATATATATATGGTTGGCGGCATCCGGTTTCGGATTTGCCTGTCATTGTGGTCAGCCACAGGACGCCTGCGCCTACACAGGGACCATGGATGGCTTGCGCTGCACCACCCACAGCTCCATCCACACATTCCATATCCAGTGTAAACCAGAAGGAATAAGACCGGGAGGCATGCGGATGGGAGCCATGTTTCATCAACGAAGCCGGCCCACACTCATTCACAGGCAAACACAAGCACGCTGTATTTGGGAAATCAACCGCACACAAGGCGGTGGCTGGACCGTAGTCCGCTCCACACTGAATGCACGGAACCACGCTTCGAGCTTAGCACGGCCACAAGGACCGTGCACCCCGTCCCCTCGAGAAACGACCAACTGTCTCCTGGAGGCAGTATGGATGAGGTAGTGGGCAATAAACAGGTAGGCACCTTGTCAACATGCACATCAAGCGCAGCCAAACCTGGGATGTCAAACAACAGTCAATCATTCGAAATGCCGATCTCAAATAAAGTAAACGCATATAACGACATAAATACTCGCTAAATGAGCATATGGAAGAAATCGGTTAAATGTGAACACGCGATAAGCACAAAATGTCCGAAAGTCATTTAAAAAATACCACGCGATAAAATTACGCAACTTTACTACAATTTGCATGAGCGTCTTGTGTAAGTTGGGAGAAGATTATCAAGTAGACAGAACAAAAATAAAATAAAATGTAATGAATGTTATCCACATTAAAAAGACCTAGTTTAAATGTAAGTTGGTTTAGCCCAACTGCAGTGAAGAAGCATCATGAATGCGACATCAGCCTCATACACATACATACATGGTTGGCGGCATCCGGTTTCGGATTTGCCTGTCACTGTGGTCAACCAAAGGACGCCTGCGCCTACAGAGGGACCATGGATGGCTTGCGCTGCACCACCCACAGCTCCATCCACACACCCCATATCCAATGGAAACCCGAAGGAATAAGACCGGGAGGCATGCGGATGGGAGCCATGTTTCATCAACGAAGCCGGCCCACACTCATTCACAGGCAAACACAGGCACGCTGGATTTGGGAAATCAACCGCACACAAGGCGGTGGCTGGACCGTAGTCCGCTCCACACTGAGTGCATGGAACCACGCCTCCAGCCTAGCACGGCCACAAGGACCGTGCACCCCGTCCCCTCGAGGAACGACCAACTGTCTCCTGGAGGCAGTATGGACGAGGTAGTGGGTAATAAACAGGTAGGCACCTTGTCAACATGCACATCAAGCGCAGCCACACCGGGGATTTCAAAAAACAGCCAATCATTTGAGAGAGAGAGACAAGAAAATAACTCGATTAATGCATAAGGAGACGGTGACATAAACCTTAAGTTAATGAGCATATGTAGTAAGTTGTTTACAAACGAATCCTAGATAAGTTCGCGAGGTCAGAAAGTATACTTTACGGAATACCTCGAACACAAAATGCTATGGAAATCGACTACAATTGGCTTAATCGAAGTGTGCAAGTTAATGGAATAGAGTACAGGTAGACATTTATATGAGAAAGAAAAGCATTTAGGCAAAATTGAAAACCCACCACCTGAAATAAAGAGACTTAGCATGCAAGCACGCGGTTAGTAAATCGAATGCAGCTTGCCTACAAACGCTGTGTCGGTGCTGTCTACCTTCTCTGCAGGACCCGTCGTCGCTTCTGTAGTGGTCCCGAGTGGCCTCGCTCATGGCTCACTAGGAAAGGGTGACATATATCTTAAAGTAATGAGCATCTGAAGTAAGTTGTTTACAGAAGAATGCGAGATAAGTTCACGAGGTCAGAAGGCAAACTTTACGGAAATGCCACGAACACAAAAATGTTTTCGGAAAGGACTAGAATTGGCTTAAGTGACGTGTGCAAGTTTATAGAAGAAAGTACGGGTAGACATTTATACGAGAAAGCAAAGCATTAGGACAAAATTGAAACCTACCACCTGAAATAAACAGACTTAGCACGCAAGCAAAGGGTGACATAAATCTTAAATTAGTGAGCATATGAAATAAGTTGTTTACAAAAGAATACGTTTACAAAAGAATACAAGGTAAGTTCACGAGGTCAGGAGGTATGTTTTACGGAAATGCTACAAACACGAAAATGTTATTGAAATAACTACAAGTGGCTTAAGCGACGTGTGCAAGTGTATAGAAGAGAGTATAAGTAGGCATTTATATGGGAAAGAAAAGCATTAGGGCAAAATTGAAAACCCACCACCTGAAATAAAGAGACTTAGCATGCAAGCACGTGGTTAGTAAATCGAATGCAGCGTACCTACAAACGCTGCGCCAGTTCTGCCTACGTTCTCTGCAGAAGCCGTCGGCGCTTCGGTAGTGGTCCCGAGTGGCCTCGCTCATGGCTTACTAGGCCTGCCTGACTCAGGCACTCGCGACCGCATGTGCTACAGCACCATGCACTCGATGTCGATGAACTACAATCCATCGCAATTGCCGCTTCTTCTCTGCATGCATGAGGTCTTTCTCCCGCACTTCAGCAACTGCCTTCGTGATGAGATCGTGCCATACGCGCCGATCAACCGCTTTCGATTCCCATGACCTGCAATCAAGAGTAGATCGTGAGAGGCTCACTTTAATCATGTCCTGGTAACGTAACTTTGATTTCCCCACGTGCCGCTTCCCAATACTCAGCTGACCGTATAAGAGTTGTTTCGGTACCCGAGTCGAATCCATACGGCTCACATGACCGAGCCATCTCAGGTGTCTCAGTAAAAGTATGCAGTCCACTGCATACATCTCACTTCGGCGCAACACTTCCGTGTCTGCAACTCTTGCGCCCCAACCGATCCGCGAAAATACATACATACATATACATATATCTATAAAAACAACCGCGACCAAAGCTGTTACAGCCTCATGAATAGCTTTCAACAAACCCGAAAACTTTTATTGGGCTACTTTCGCTGCCAAGGGCTATCATACTGCCAGGGACACTTTCTAATGCTACAGTCTTGTTCGATTTTGTCAATACTATTCGATTTCATTCTGCTCCGAGGTACTAGCGGCACCATTAGACAGCACACCCATGGAGACTAGAATGCAGTTGTTGCCCTCACAATCAGACAATTGGTTTGTGTATAAAGTTAAAATGCCTTCGATTGTGTTTATCGTGTGCAACCGAGAATATGCATATTTCTTTAATTATATTTATACGAAATGCGTGAAATGTCTGTAAATACCAATGAATTAGGTTTCCGGAGTTCCCTACGTCGTTTTGCTTGCAGAGTGACATTCGCCCGATGGTGTTAACAAGCGGCTTCTACAATATCTCTAACGAGATCTGGCTACGTCCGTTCACACTGTTGTGCCGCTAGTGCGTCGGAGCAGAACGAAATCGAAAAGTATTGTCTAAAGCGAACAAGACTGTAATCTTAGAAAGTTCCCCTGGCAGTATGATACCCTTTAGCAGCGAAAGTAGCCTACGAAAAGCTTTCACGTTTGTTGAAAGCCATGCTTGAGGCTATAACAGCTTTGGTCGCGATAGCTACCGGTGCTCATCGAACGGTCATCGTGTAGGCCCAGGCTGTTCTTCTCAATTGCAAGAACAACGAGTC